TTAAAGTTCGTTGCCCCAAATAAAGCAAACTGAATACCCAGGCAAGCCAGGTTTCCCAGATACCTGCATCCCCTTTTCTGGTAGTGCAACATTAAGAAGGGCTTACAACTTCCTAGAAGACTTGAGTTGAAAAAACAATGAACTGGAGAGGCAAACTTCCCTGTAACCAGATTCCTGGAGACTTGGCGGGATCTGCTAATATACTCTTTTAGATGGGTCTAGGTACCACCACAATCATCCCAGCCCTGCCCCAACAGATCCATACTACCACTCAATCAGGCAGGTTACAAGGATGGATGGGAGGAGAGAGCAGTTCCTTTAGCCTCTGGGTCTTGAGGGTATAGGCTGCTGGCAACCCAAGATGCTGTGTAGGAAATCAGGTTGGGCCAAGGATGTGGCTTGATTTACAACTTTTAAATATTCAAATGTTTTGATAAATATTTAAACATTTGTAGTCCTCCAGGTATAATCTTGCTCAATTCCATATGTGTTAGGGCCACACTGTCCTAATTACTCCTTTTGTTAGCAATATCTGACATCATCTTATTTATTTCTGTGTTCTGTCTCTCAGACAAGGAAGTACAGTATATTTCTTAAGGACAGAATGTTGCCTATCTTGTTCTCTATCCCCAGTGCCTAACACTAATTACTCAATAAATAAACTTCACAGAACAAAAAAAATGAATACAAGACAAAGGGAAAAAGAGAAATTCTAATGAATAGGGAAGAGTTGATTTCTCCTGAGTATGTATTTAACTTACAGAATAAGCTAAATAAGAAGACTAATAAGAAAAATAAGAATTTTTAAGATTATTAGTAAAATACTAACATTGATCTTTATATGTATACATACACACACACACACACACATATATATATATATTTTCTTTTTTGAGAATGCAGTGATGTTATCACAGCTCTCTGTAGCCTTGCCTTCCCAGATTCAGGCAGTCTTCCCACATCAGCCTCCTCAGTAGCTCGGATCACAAGCACACGCCATCACGCTCTGCTAACTTTTCAATTTTTTTTGTAGAGACTGGGACTCCCTATGTTGCTCAGGCTTGTCTCTTAACTCCTGGGCTCAAGTGATTCTCCTGCTTTGACCTCCCAAGTTTCTGGGATTATAGGCATGAGCCACCACCCCTGGCCTATATTTCTATCTTAATAGTGTCACTAAAAAATAACAGGGAAAAATTCCAAAGATCATAGTGCCATTAGCAAGATCAACTAAACCCCAGATAAACCACTTTGGACTTAGGAAGTTTCAGAGTGGTGCATTTCCACTACTCTTTGTGGTTACAGGAAATTAAACCCATGCACGGAAGGTGAAAACAGGCACACTTTATAACTATACTAACTAAAGATATTTATAAGCAAGCAGCTATCCAAAATATTCAAAATTATAGAGTCATAAATAACGTTATATATCTCAAGGTCTTGGAGATTAGACTCAATCATTTAGTCAGCAAGGTAATATAGAACATTAATATATCTAAAAGTCATATTGTATATTAGACATAATATATTATTTGTTTCCAAAATCAGTTGTACATCTCTACTTTTTATAATCTGCCTTAAGCCATAATAATTTAAACAGTATTAAAATTTTTTATTGCAGTTTATTTTCCTATGTAACATTTTCCGTTTCTAATTTTAACTGTAGAAAGAATATTTTTTCTTTAAAGCTCATAAAATACAGAATTATATAGAAAAATAATTCAAAGTTCTACTTCATTGTGTTCTATATCTCACTTTCCACGGGTAATATGCTACTGTTGAGTTTAGTGTTTGTGTGGCCACATCTTTTTCTACATATTTACAAAATATATATATGAAAACTGATCATTAAAAAAAGAACAGGCCATGCATGGTTGCTCATGCCTATAATCCCAGTGCTTTGAGAGGGCAAAGCAGGAAGATAGCTTGAGCCCAAGAATATAAGACTAGCCTAGACAACATGGCTAGATCTCTCTCTCTACAAAAAATAAAAATTAAAAAAAAATCAGCCAGATGTGGTGGTGCATGCCTATAGTCCTAGCTACTCAGGAGGCTGAGGCAGGAAAATCACTTGAGCCCAGGAGTTCAAGGTTACTGTCAGCTGTGATCGGCCACTGCACTCTAGCCTGTGTGACAAAGCAAGACCTATGTCCAAAAATAAATAAATAAATACATAAAATAAAGAACAGGAGAGGTAGGCTGTGTGCAGTGGCTCACACGTATAATCCCATCACTTTGGGAGGCCAAGGCAGGCAGATCACTTGAGCCCAGGAGTTTGAGACTGGCCTGGGCAACATGGCAAAACCTCGTTCCTACAAAAAAAAAAAAAAAAAAAATTAGCCAGGCATGGTGGTACACACTTGTAGTACCAGCTACTCAGGAGGCTGAGATGGGAGGATCATCCAAGCCCAGGAGGTAGAGGCTGCAGTGTGCTGTGGTCATGCCAGTGAACTCCAGTCTGGGCAACAGAGCAAGATTCTGTTTCAAAAAAAAAAAAAAAAGAAGAAGAAGTAGTAGTTGATAATTGCTAGCTCATTTTATCTGGCAACAAAGCAACCAAAACAGCAGTATATGGGCAATCTTTTGCCTCTAAGAGTGCAAGGAAGTTCTTCAAATAAAATTTTATATTCTGCAGAAAACAGAAAAATCTGGTGAAGAAGCCCAAATTTTCAGTCATTATCCATTTCCAAAAACATTTTTATGGTTTTTGTTTTTAAAAGTCGGAATGGTACTCATCCTTTTTCTCTCTGAATGACTTATTTTTAGCAGATTTTATTTTATCAAGAATATTCTCGTCAAAATTTTAGTCAATTGATCGCTTTATTTTTAAAGAGCAACTACATTCCATGTAGAATTTCAAATATTATTAAAACATACTGACTTAAAAAAGTATTCATAGTTTGTCAAAAACTCTATACTTAAGACTTTCTGTGAAGTAACCTAGTTTTATCAGCACTTTCCATTCTTCGTTAGCTCCTTGGCTTTTAAAAACGAAACAGAAACCTATGGTTTTCAAAGATGAAAAACAAGTAATAACATTGTTAAAGAAAAATTTTATTTTTACAACAAATTCTTCCTTAAGCCCATTTGTATTAAATTCTATGAGAAAGAAGCTGGATATTATTTTTAGAAAATTTTCCTCCCAAAATATGTTGCCTAACTTGTCTATACAATAATATATTGATTGAAGTGCCATATCTTTGAACATTAAAACATTAGAAACCTAAATTCAACTAAATTTGACAAAAATCTCTGCTCTAACTGAATTGTAGAAATTTAAGGTAGAAATGACCTAAATGATCACCAGTTAATTAAAATATTATCAACATACAATAATGAAATGCCTTTAAGGATTCATGGAAAACACATGAAAAAAATAACACCTGGTGCATTTTAGAAAAGGCAGTCAATTTACAAATAGACTTTGTT